CCCCAAAACCCCAAAACCCCAAAACCCCAAAACCCCAAAACCCCTCCGTGTTAATATTCTCAGATTTATGCTATAAAATCAATTAATTTTTAAGATTTCACAAATATTAATCAATCGCTTTTGTATGTATCTTTATTTTCATTTAATGTATGTATAAAATTGGACTCATTTAAGCTATTTGATGTCATTTATTCTCATTTGTCCATTTCTCACTATTTCTTAATGATTGACCTCTTCTTGCTTGATGGTTTAATCAGATAAATAAGAATCATTTAAGTCTTGCTAATTTTACTTCCCTTAATCTAAGAAATTTTTAACTCCCATCTGCCCTTTAATTTGAGCAAAGTCAATTAGGACTTATTTATTATTGCTATTATTTGGGTCATCGTCATCTTAGTTGAAGTATCTGTTACTAACCTCTTCGCTCATCTCCTCCGTCTGGAACGATGACTCTTTCTCCTCATTAATAGCAGCATCAATATAGTTTTAAATGTTCTGATCATTTAATTTGATTTTATTATTCATTTCTGATCCACGAGTTCCTTATTTTTTAAAAGAGTTTGGTTGTAATTAGTCCTCTGAACCTAATTAATTATCTAATTGATTATTATTAAATGTTTATGGTTCATCTTCGATAGATTTCATTCTAAACTCATCTTATTGCTAAGCAAATGATTAAACTTTTTGAAAACTACCAAATTAAAATACCTTTTGGTTATCTACTGAGGTGTTATTGTTAAAGGTGGCAAGTCTCATTTAATCATTATTACGGTACATTTACTAATCTTTATTGATAAGTTATGCATCTGAAAAATCTGAAATCTTGAGATTGTCAGACTGGTTATTACCAAAAATATTGTTGCTAAGATTATTATCGAATGGATTATTCGGTGATCTAATAGATCCCCCTCTGTTTTCAACTGAATAGTTTTAATTTTGATCTGGCTTTGGCGAAATATCTTATTATAGTCTGCTCTACTTTAATTTTTCTCTTTGAGCTTTGAAATTTTTCCAATTTTTGTAAATTTGTAATGCACACATATACTTACTTACAGTCATCTCAGTCCTATAGTACTTATTACCACATAGACTATCTGGAGTAACATGCTTGCCTAGACCTTTGTATTTTCGCTTTAACTCCTTCATAATGTTTGTCACTTATTCACAGTTATGCACTTGCTCATCATTATTTCCAATAATGGAGTGGAAAATAGCCCACATTACCTCCGGAAAATATACCTTACCTTCATTTTCCCTTAGGTGACTTTTAATATTCAAGCAGAAGATAATTTTATTGAGCTTAGCACGTTCAATTTTATGACCCTCATATCCAAGTGGAGGAGGCAGTTTTTCAAGAAATTTAGAAAAATCAGTAGTTTTCATGTAATGCTCTCCATTTGGACAGAATTGAGCCCAGGTTTTTACGAAAGCTTTTATATCTTTTCTTTTAAGGGAAAGTACTTCATTCTCATCTTCTGATGCCTTTACATCATTAAAATTTTCATAGATAACTGCAATGAATACATTCAAGAAGATATAATGGGTGATAAGTTCGAACGCAAGCCAATAGAATATCCCAATGATTCCAGTCTGATCATAGCAGTCATGCATAATTCCATTCCAATTCTCACCAGTGGCAGCTCTGAATAAAAGTATGATTGTTATATAGAATGATCTAAAGTTTGCATTTAGGGTAATGTACTCAGAGTCATTTAAGTCACCAAAAAGATCCATCCCAGCAACTGTAAAGGTGAAAAATATTAGAAAGAGAAGCATGCCAACATTAGCTATATTTCCGATAGAAAGCCACAAAGTTTTCAAAAGATGTCTTAAACCTTTAGATGCCTTCACCATTCTTAAAAGCCTTGCAACTCTGATAATTCTTAATGCATTTACTTTGAATGAGAATAGCGATTCATCTAAGGCTATAAGAGATAGAATGACAATCACAAAATCAAATTTATTCCATGTTTCAAGAAAATAGAATCTTATTCCATGAGCAGTCATTTTCATCGCAGCCTCAACTGCAAAAACTGAAACAAATATAATATTTCCTACTTGCAAAGCATTTGACCAACTTGCTGGCGCATTATAATAATCCATGCAAAGAAATAGTGTATTCAGAGCAATAACAAAACTAATGAAAAACTCAAATTGCTTGCTCATTACGACATGGAAAAAGAAAGTCCTGAATTTATTGTTCGGACAAATAGGCTTTATTTTTAGATTTACATGAACCATAATTCTCTACATTTTGACCCATTCTTTCTATTCCTCAGAAAACTTATGCGAGCCTTCTTTTTTTTTGATTTCCTCATTAAACTTATCTACAATGACGGAAATAAACAAATTCATTACGAAGAAGGTTGTGATGAAAATAAAAACTACAAAAAGAACTGCAATATAGGGTCTATTATCGAGTACAGGACCATAATCTATATCTTGACTGTCAATAGCTGCAAACATAACAGATGGCCAATTCTCAAGAGTAGCTATTTCAAAGAATGTAACCATAGAGTAAAAAATGTTATCAAAGTTATTGAATGGAACAGACCATTCACGATCTACATGCTCCATAGTTCCTGGATCTATGTAACTTCCTACGCAATTGGACTTAAAGTCGATGGTTATATCATTGCATGACCCTAAAGCTCCTTTAAACAACTAGACACCAAGGATTCCGAACACTAGGTAAAATAGTAGACTAATAAGCATGACATTAAACAGATTAGGAATGGATGTAAGTAGAGAGTTAACTACAATTTTCATTCCTTCATTTTTCGACACCATTCTTAGTGGCCTTAAAGCTCTTAGCGCTCTAAATCCACGCAAAAAGCTAACACTGATATCACTGAATGAATCGAGGATCCAATTCAATACTGAGAAGGAGACTATCGTAAAATCCAATATATTCCAATAATCCTTTAAGTAAGCTGTTTTACCTTTAGCAAACCCGAGAACAATAATCTTTGCTAATGCTTCAGCGATAAAAATACCAGATATAACAGTAACACACAATTCCAGGGTTAAAACTTAATATTCATCTTTGAGTTATGGTTCATCTAGGGCTAATATTAATGAGTTCAAGCCAATCAAGTGATAGATGAAGTTCTCAAAGTAAGAATGAGTTAGAATAGCTTTGAGAGTCTTTCTGACCTTAGAATCTTGACTGAAAATAAATAAACTACGACCTTCTATGTTCAGGATTGTATTCTTCGACTTAGTCTTATAACTTCTCTTACCGGTGCTACCTTTTTAAATATTAGAAACACTCTCTGGATTGCTAATACTTTTATTGAGATTATTTGAATTATCCAAGTTCGGTATCTTAACAGACTTAGATTAGTCACTTCTATTTTCATGTCTTTGAAGATTAGAAATTTCATCTGAAAGTTAATTATATCTTTCTGGCTGACTGCCATTTTCTTAGTTATTATTTTGATTGTACATGAAATCAGCCTGCTTCGATTCCTCTTCATTAGATCTCTCAGAAATTTTAACTCTCCTCTCCTCTTTGTAACCGAATCCAATATGAATCTCATTAGGACTGATTGAGCTTTCAAGTTAGTTGTTGTTATGCATCTTGCTTGCATATTTCTCATCCTCTCTTTAATTCTTGGATTATTCTTCGATAGCCAAATGAGCATCATGATCAGAGAGTTTCTTGTCGCCTTATCCTTTTATTCCTGCTTTAACTCTGAGTCTCTCCTGGATGTAGTCAAATTACTCTTCTACGACTTCATTTTAAAAGTCATTGGCACCATTATTGTCACCTTCTGTACTTTATTTTTCTTCTTCTTAATCAAGATTTTCAGAGATGAAACTAAGCAGAATAGCCAGAAATAGATTGAGCACCATAATATTTCCAAAAATAATCATTGAGACAAAGTAGATTGATGCAGCAAACCCATCCTTATCGATAAATTATATCAATATAGAGTTCCAGTTCTCAGCAGTTAGCATTACGAATATTGTTATGAGGGAATAACCGAAAGTATTAAAGTTGAAACGGAAAGATAAGTCTTCATTGTCTGGTATAGGCCCACTAAAAAATTGCATTCCAATTAAAGAGTAGATAAAAATAAGGAGGAACATCAGCAGACCTAAGTTTGCAATTGATGAGAAAGAATTTAAAACAGTTTGTAGTAGCTTCTTTAGAGTGGTCCAGGACTTAACAATCTTAAAGATTCTGAGTAGTCTGAAAGCTCTCAATACAGTCAAGGCTTTAGAACCAGCATTCAAGAATTCTAGTAGACCAACAATCACAATGATTGCATCAAATACATTGAATCCATCTTTTACATATGCTCTCAAACCCAAACCAAACATTTTAAGAACCATTTCGAGAGCGAATATGCAAGTCAGTATACTATTACCCAGATTAACAGCGGTAGTCAGAGATTCAGGCTGATCATAATGTTCCATAGCCATGAATATAGTATTGATCATAATAAGCAAAATGATTAGGATGTTGAACCCTCTAGACTCTACTAGCAGGAAAACTTAATGCTTGAATTTTTAATATCTTTTCTAATCATTTTATTAATTGTCAGGCTTTACTTCTTCTCCAGTAGGAATTTCTTTTTAGTCAGGTGATTTGAACGGATGACTTGTGTCTGAGTTGTTTTCATTATTTGAGATATCTTTTTTGTCTACCTCCCCAAGAGCCTGTGAGAAGCCATCGTTAAATTTGACTTATTCTTTGAGAGGCGATTTAGGTGATTCCTCTTTGATTTTCATGAGTTAATTAGTTTCCTTCAGCTTTTGTGCTTCAATTTTACTCTTCTATTCTTGGAACTAAGCATTTAGATAACTGAATTGAACAGCCACCATTAAATTTAAGATGAAAAATGCTCCAATTATTACCACTAGAATGAAAAAAATGTCATAGGCAACACTGCCTGTTGCACTTCTGATCTTGTACATTACATCAGTCCAACCCTCAAGTGTGATGATTATGAAGATATTTAGAACACTTTTCAATATATTGTCAAAAGATGTAACTTCATAATCAGGATTTCCAATATTAATGCATTCCCATGTACCAGGGCACTAATCGTAATTGTTACAAAAGAATCCGTTGCCATCCTCTCCTTTTTAAATTACTCCTTCGTCATTGGCACACCTGTTTTATAAAAGTCCACCAAATAACTGGGTTGCAATCGTACCAAACATAACAAGGAAAAACGAAAATAGAACTAATATATCGAACAATGTAGGCAGAGAATTCAAAAGAGATTATACAAGTTTTCTCATTCCAGGCATTGAGTTTATTGTACGTAATGGTCTTAATATACGAATAACTCTAATAGCACTAACATTATTTGCAGTAACCACCTTTGATATCCATCCCATTATAACCACAATAAAATCCAACTAAAGATATTATAAACCAATTTTGTAGCTTACAATGTTCCAAGCATCTCTTAGATATGAGTAAGGGCGAAGTGCGAAACCCATAGCAATGATTTTCAAGCACATCTCTATCGTAAACAGCACTAAGAATATATAATCAGCAATAATTTGATAGTCGAGCTGGTCCAGATTAGGATCATCTATCGCAAGAAATACGCAATTAACCACAATAATCATCAAGATAAATCTATCGAACCATCTATAAAATTATTGATTATGAACCTATTTTGTTGTATTAAAATTAACTGAGTTCTGAAAATTAGGTGTTTCCTCCAGCACAGAACTTATAATAATTTCGAATACTTACTAGTTGAGGACAACTCTAATTATCTTATCTCTGAATGGATTTGTTACTGTAAGACAAAATAATGAAACCGTGGCATAATTTTTTTGATTATCGGCCTCTGTTATTCGTTTTGGAGGTTCTATGATAATCTATCGATTAAATCCAGACATCTAAAATTATTGTTAGTTGTATATATAATATTTAGTGTGATATAACCTTACCTTCTGCAATTCTTTTTGCTACTAATATAATCTCTAGCTATCAAATTGCTTCCTCTTTTGCGGATTAGTGAAGTCTAAATGTTTTATTTAATCTAATCAAAGAAAGATTACAATCCTGGTAAGTTTCTTCATCGTTAGAGGATTCACTTTCTTCTCCTTTGTTCATAATTAAATTTGTTAATATATATATTAAATCAATTTCATATATTAAAACTTATGCATGAAAAAATTCTCAGTAGAGAGGGGTTTTGGGGTTTTGGGGAGATCGGAAGA